CCTCGATCGTTGTGGGGAAATTCGATTCGTTCCAGACTTTCGACGTTTCAGCGCAATGTCGGCGCGCTGGGTCGGTTTGGCCGGGCATTTCTTGCGTTCCGGTCCGGATTTCGATTTCACCATTGTTGATGAAAATGCCGAGTTCGGCTGCCATAGTTCGGGCAGCCGTCGCCTCCTTTGTGGGAGCTGACAATGCTGCAAGGAATTCGTCTTCCGTGCAGCTGATCCAGTCCAGTCCTAATGCTTTTAGGACTGTTGCTATCCGTTCTTGTAACGGATTGAAGTTCGGTTCGTTCCGGGGAATAAGCGGCTGGTTAGTTGGGGTATCCTTGTCCGGTGGTTTGGTTGGATGTTGGAGGTCGAATGAGTCACCGGAGCTCATCGACCTTGGGCGTTTCCCGGGGAGTTACTCCGAGCCGACCCGTTGTTGGGTGGTGTCGAGTTCAACGACTGGCGGGGCGGCAACGGTTCTCTGTATGCTGGGGAACCTTGTTGGTTCCCACCGCTATTCCTGCGGTTTCCGCCATTCCCCTGGCCGGGCGACCGGTTTCCGTTGCCGGAGCTGCCCGAGCCACCAGCTTGTTGCTGGCGAAGGCGTGGTGGTGGCACGACGTCCCTCCAAAATGGATTGGCCGAGCCAACCGGGCCTTAAGTCGAGTATCGGCGGTACCAATCGTCGTACCACCGCAGGTTCGGATTGTTGTCCGATCCATATACGCAACGTGACTCGTCGTGATTGTTAAACATGCAGTGCCTGCATGTGAAGGTCTTATCCTTCGTGCACTGGAAGAAAGCTGCCTCCATTTTGTCGACATATGTTGACGCCTGCCGAGCACTCTGTTGTGCTTGGGGAGGTCGGTTCCCTTGTTGGTTGCCGCCTCCGCCGCGGTTGGGAAAGTTTCCACGGCCACGATTCCAGCCGCCGCGTCCTCTTCCGCGACCAAAGCTTCCGCCGCAATATCCTTGTGCAGGATACTGGCCGTATGCGGAGTATCCCTGGTTAGAGTTCTGTCCGTAGCCAAAGCCTGTGTTGCTTTGGTTGCCGCCCGAGCTACAACCTGGGCCACCGTAGTTGTTAACGGGGGCTCCAACTCCAGGTGCCGGGGGATTCAAGTTCGCCGCTGCTGCGCCCACCCAAGTCTGTTGTTGGACTGGTGCTTGTTGCACCAATGTCGCCGGCGCCGGACTCAGTTGTCCGTACTGTGCCGTTGGAGTCTGATATCCCGGCATCATGTGTGGCTGATATCCGGTCTGTTGCGGTATCGCCGGAGGTGGAGTCGGGACAGGTGCAGGTGTTGCTGCCCGAACTCTGGCGTAGTCGCCATCACGCGATTACCGCGCCTCGTACATTTCTTTGCCGTTGACGAAGTCCCGTAGGTATCAAATTATGCGGGCAACAGACTGTGATGAAACAAATGTAGTGATGAAATATCGTAGTGTAAAGACTTTTCCATTTCGGTGAAGGCAAGGTAAAAATGCTACAAGCGAGATATTATTATTGACAAAACTTTTGGCGGCTCTTTAGATTTTCAATACAACTAATTTTTAATCACTTTCAGTAAAATTAATTTTACACCAGAGTGTTTCAGCCAAAACAACTTCCACTTTACTTCGACATGAGTACGTTCGAGTGCCGTAGAACGTTCGACAGAAATCAAATCCAAATTATTTTAGGGCCGGCATCAGTGATGGAATCTCGTGGGTTGTCGAGCAGACCAAACCGAATCCTATCCGACCGGCGCGGACGCAAATTTTATATTATTAATTTTTGTTTTCCTTCGATGTTCAATTACCGTACATCAAAAGGCTTTCGATTTTATGGGCGCTGGTTTCTTGAAATAAGAACAGAATTTCATTTTAATTTCGGTGGCTTTTTTTGTTACGTGCGTTCGAAGGAATACGACGAATACGGTGAAATGAAAGCACGCTGACGGAATTTCTGCAGCTTCTGTACTCTGTATATCTCATTTTTAAAGTATAAATTTATTGTGTATTATTGTATTTAGAATAGTTTTTATTTATTTTTAATTTATTTCGTTTCGGCGGATAAACTGATTATCCATCTCAGTAAATTGTTGATTCATTTATTTTAAATTTATTTCAGCGGACAAATTGTAAAGTACAGATAGCTCGAACGTGCACGTGTTGAAAATTAACGGAAGATACAGGGAATTAATGCGACGAATAATTCTAAGGCTGATACGACGTGATTAGCATCTTGGAGAAATTCTCCATGGCCTTGGGAATCAGTACTAGTGACCGTTAGCACGCGTAGTAGTTACTGGTAGTCTGGTACGATACGAGTATTTTTTTCAATTACATTACGAGTTAATATATGAATATTATATAAAAATGTAACAGTCAGACAAATGTAAGACAGATGAACGTAAATGAACGTAAGGCAGATGAAAGATCATAAGGCAAATGTAATTACATTTGCCTTATGATCTTTCATCTGCCTTACGTTCATTTACGTTCATCTGTAGGCAGATGTAAGCTACCCGTAGAGACCTTCAAGTGGCCACCTATGTTAAGTCAATGGACGACATACCTTCAAGTAGCCAGGCTGCAGTTATTTGGCCCCAGAACCGATTTTCTTCCTGTTTTTTGGTATAGCATGTTCAGTTCGACTTACTCTGTACAGAGTACTTGAAAATTTTAAAATCAGTTGAACCGTTTCTTAGTTATTAACGTTGTAAAAAACCAGTGACGAAACGCGTAAGCCACGCCACGAGAGCCACTACACTACGCCAGATTATTTCACTTATCAACCACACATGTGCGGGTGCTGCAAGCACTCGCTTTATATGAGCCGATATGAGCACAGAGGCAACCGGGAACAAACTACGTTTACAAAAAATTCATTAAAATTTTAAAAAAAATCAAAAATTTAAACAATTAAAATTGCAAACTAGTGAGCATGCGAAAAATCACAGGTTAGTGAAAATAAAAATTCACAGGTTAATAGATACCAGCTAGCAGAGATCGGTGAACTGATTAGTAAAACACGACGGGTACAAGTATGGAAAGGATTTTTAATTATTGTTGTCGTACTGCTACCCGGAGTCTATTACACTGAGTTTTTATTTCACTTTCCTTTGATTTTTCGCATCCTCACTAATTTGTTGTGATTGTTTTGATGATTTTCGATGATTTCAGTGATTTTTATTGTTTTGATTTCTAAATTTTTTGTAAATTTCAATTACTTTTTTAAAACGTAGTTTGATCCCGGTTGTCTGTGCTCATATCCGCTTATAAAAAGCGAGTGTTTGCTGCACCCGCACATGTGTGGTTAATAAGTGAAAAAAGGTGGCGTAGTGTAGTGGCTCTCGTGGCGTGGCTTACGCGTTTCGTCACTGGTTTTTTACAACTTAAATAACTAAAAAACGGTTCAACCGATTTTGAAATTTTCAAGTACTCTGTAAAGAGCAAGTTGAGCTGAACAGGCTATAACAAAAAACAGGAAGCAAATCGGTTCTGGGGCCAAATAACTGCAGCATGGCCACTTGAAGGTCGCCCATTGACTTAACATACCGGGTGGCCGAACAAAATGGCTGTCTAATTTACCAAGGTGCCCTGGCTCAGTCTATAGTCTGATTGCCAATGGGTTAATTTTATTCGAAAGAGCAATCTGTAGGACGTACAAAATTTATGTTAAGTAAACCTTACGTCAAGGTCTGATTTTATAGTAAATTGTTTTGGAAAACTAGGTGGAGTTTAAGGATGTCCCGGCAACGAAAATTCTACTTTCTCTATTTTAGAACAAAAAATCCTGTTATTTATAGAAGTACATTACTGTGTGTCGCATTACAATTTTTGGAAGATAAGTTGTTTCTTGGTTTTTTACTGCTAAGAGCTATGACTTTCTTGTGACCGTGTTCGGCCAGTAAACGAGAGGGCTCAGGCCACGCAATGAAATTCTCGTGAAATGGGCAAGTAGCAATTTTGAAGACCAATTTTTTATGAACACTTGGAGAAAATTTTCTAGATTAAACCCGTTTTTGCAAGGCCAATGTCTTAGCTACCCTTATCAGTTAAACCGACATTTTTAGATGCGCCAGGTCGTGCAACAAAAAATTATAGCGAAAATGTATACAAAAATCAGGTAACAAACTTGCAGCTTTTTCGAAAAGTACCGAAACATTCTAACTGTATAGCACATTTGGCGCAAGGACTATGTCAACAAATTTTTTTTGAATGGAAAACGATGCCATTCTCTAGATAAAACAGCTGGAAAAATATAAAAAGCTCTTACGGGAAGGAAATGCCGCAAGATTCTGAATTCTGCGAGCTGGGACACGAGAAATTTTTACATGATTTTGGTTGGCCCCCTTGTTAACGAGCGTGTCTCAACTTTTCAAAACAAATTTTGTTGTTTTCAATAGTGAATAAAATTCTCTATCGAACGAGTTTAAACTGTTAGCGATGTGGTTAACGGTTCGCGAGAAACAAGCCAAAAACGAAGACGGCCATTTTGTTCAGCCACCCGGTAGGTGGCCACTTGAAGGTCTCTACGAGTAGATGTTGATGAACACTGGACAATCGCGCATATATAACGTATGTAACGTAGCGCATATTTAAAATTTAACGATGTCAAAAACGGGTTTCAACCCTTCTTTTTCAGCAAAACTTATAAGCACATTATTAATAAACAGCGTGGAAAGGTCAGTCTCGTATTAAGTCGATATTATATGTGATATCTACAGCGTGGTAACGCCAAGTTGAAGACAGTTGGTTGCCAATTATTAAAATTTCAGAGTTTGGTACTTTTAACCCTCTTATTGCTAAAACTAGTAACGCTATGTTTGGAGAATTGGAAAAACACTCTGTTTTGGTGGATAAACTCTTTCTGGAATTTTCGGATTTTTTCCGGAAGTGGTCACTGGAATTTGACCAGTGACCACTTCGCAAAAATGCAAAGGGGTGGATCAACAAAAAATTACGCAAAAAATCCAGATCGTCTGGGTCTCTTTCGTACTTTTTATCACCGTAAAGGCTGATATTTGTGCCAACGAACAAAACAAAATTGTTCCATATTCGAATTGGATTCCGATTCTGCAGGGTCTCCCAAAGGGAAGATTCCTGGATGACACAGTAGGTCCCAGATTTTGTTGGACAAGTGTAGTTAATAGCGACTACCCCCTGAGCAGACACAAAACACCACAGGAACGCCGCATGCAGTTGCAAAGCTGGCATTCACTGCCGGGCAAACGTACAAAACTACAAACGTATGTGCAGATATTACGGTGTACAGTAGGAATGAGAAATTCCGCTAAATTCAATTATCAACCCTTCGATGGGCAGCGTTAACATGAGAATTCAAAACAGAAATCAAAGAACAGCGAGCGAATCACCGAGATAATAGCCCTTTTCTCAGACCCGAAACAGCTCCGCGATCCCAAGCAGTGCCATTCTGCTCAACTGGCTCACGTCCACAAGTCTCAGATCAATGTCCTTCCAAACTTTTATTGTCCCGTCTGCGTGAAATCCGCTAAATCTGTCAACAAACAATAATACCGTATTTGCTGTAAGCTGTATGTCGATTCAACTGGTGACTCTGTTTCCGACAACGCGCTACAATGTGCATTGGGGGATTGGTGTTCGGGCCAGTTCGGCTAGCTGCACCTCATAGTAAAAAGTGTTGATCAGCTAGCTGACCACCCGCCGCCCCACGTGGCTCTCTACATGCCTGCTGACCATGTATACAGCATGTGGCGATCAAATAACTAATATGCTGGTAGCCTCGTACTGATCGACTGTAATTTGACTAATTTCTCCTTAGTCCTGTTCTTTATGGTTCATATTTTTATGGAGGGGTTACTCAAAGTCTCAAACACCTCACGAGAAAGGCTTATGAGTATCACATCAATTGTGAGGTTGAGGTAAAGTTTGTAAATGACGTAGGGAAGTACACCGCTTTAGGCTAGCACTATAAGACCAAAGTCAAGCTAGGAACGGTTTAGGTAATGTTGATCTAAGCCATAAAGTAATGTTTATTACTGCTATTGTGGTGCGTATAACTGTTTTCAGTAGAAAGGATTGAAATACATATAAAGAAAACTTTAGAAGTACGGACTCGTTTTCGAGTCTTATGCTGGTTAACGTTTTAACGATAACGGCGAGTCAATAAAGGTTATTTTTTGAATGTACAGGGTTTCGAATGCCGGTTGATTCAGGCCTGTAAATTAGAAAGTTTCGGCGCTGTGCCATAGCACCCTGAGTGACTTACTACGTAGTACGTACTGGTGTAATGCTAACGGTAAGCACAAAGTAGCGCTTATCCTGGTTACTTTAAAGCTACCAAGCAACGTTAGTGAACATCTTAGTATCTTGTATTTCTGTCAATTCTGTGCATAAAAGCTGAATAAATTAATAAACTTGAGTGCCTTACTGCCTAACTGAAACACTACAGGTCGAGTCAAGACTTTGCACTGCTACGCTTAACTGCTCAGCAGTTTTAAATTTTTAGACACTTAAGACATTAATGAGCATCCTTACTACGATAGCATCAGAAAGCACATGACAACTCTACACTATGAAAGCATCTGGGACACTGGCGACCACTATGCAACCTATTTTCTTGACGCATTACCCTAATAGTCAGTAATCAGTAACCCAAAACAGCGTAGTGCCCCTAAGCTTACTAAGACAATAAAATTTAGGGTTATTTATATTTAGACATAGCGCTTAGTGAGTGACCGACTGCTTTGGCCGTGACCGACAGCTTAGAGCGTGACCGACGGACAAAAGCCATATTTTCTTGAACATAGAGGACCTGCTCTTCGCTTTGGTCGGTACACATTTTTAGGAGGGTGCGTATTTGAATTTTGAGTAATACACAAATATTCATCCATACCCAAATTTACGCTTTTATCCGGTCTTTTCGAAGCTTTGTTGCAAATGCCCATATTGTATTAGTCATGCAACGAATCTTAATCAAAACCGAATCGAAGAAGTCAAATCAAAACTTTAACAGCAATTTGCAGGTAATATATTACGAAATTAAATCGACCGGAGCGCAGATAAAGTCCTCTTAATTCAGCGCCAATAGAGAAATGCAGCTGTGTTACGGAAGTTTGTTACGGAAGTTACAGCAAACAACTGCGCAAATTACTCCTTACTAATTGTAAGGAGTCCTTAGCACCGCTGCAGTGTGCCAGTGCACGCATTGGCATGCATGCAATGCACGCCAACGTGCATCTTTCTAGTAAATCTCGATAAACTTACACTGATAAGAATGCTCGGATGTTATTCCATTCATGCGGATAAGAGAGTGTCTCCACCCAACGTGCATGCACCTTTTGGACCTTTACATAAATGCCGTCTGCAGTAGGCGGGAAATTATTGTCCAAAGTCCACATGAATTGGCTGACCATGTTCTCCTCGTCTTGGCTGCAATCCAGAACGACTTGCGGGATGGCGATCTGCAGTCTATCAATTCCGATCACATCCAGCCAGGTTTCGGGTGTGATAGACTGCATCCAGTGAACCTCGTGGGCAGGCAGATCCTTCAAGCCGCTCGTAAACGGATTGCAGAATATTGCAAACAAAGATTTGCCAAAAATGTTGCTCAGTTTCCAATTGTGTAGCACGATACGTTGGCTTTTGTCTCGATAAAATGACAACCATATTGTTGTACCATGAAACGCGAAAAGCTTTCTGTTGTCAAGTGGGGTCACGGGATACGGCATATTAGCGTATTCGTACATGTGATTGGAATCGGTAATAGTGTAATCTTTGAAAACTATTGTAGGCAACTTGATCTGCATCGCTTCCAACAAATCAGCCAAATAGGTCACGTGGAAGAATGGTGTCAGTACAGTCAGGCTTTTTGTCATTGAGCGGATGTTAAGACTCAGGAGGTACCATGTTTTGTAGCAACTTAAATTGTCCGTTTTTGCTGTTTTAGAGCACGTTGCCAAACAGATTGCGATGTGCTCGGTTGCGCGACGACTGCTCAGGAGCTGCTGCCATAAAACGCACACTCTAATAAGAAAGCCAAACCGAGTATTAGCAAAACGCACACCGTATGAGTTACGAGTAAGTGTTTTTTCGTTACCCTATGATTTCGTTACCCCTATGATCCTATGAATCACCAGAACGAAATGAGTTCTCGTTTTGGAACCTTTGTCCGTCTGCATTGCGGGCGCGTGCTGAAAACGGCACACCGACAATTTGTTGACCGCTATCTTGCTGACAGACAACTTGCTGACGACTTTTTGCTGAACGACATAGTGAACACCCGACATCTGTTGCAACGACAACTTGATCGACAAGTTGCGGAACGGAAGTTTGCTGTACCCCGGCATTCTGCTGACGAGAATCTGCTGACCTTGTAATACTTGAGAAAACATAAGAAAGAAACCCTAACCAAACCTAAGAAAAGTAAGGTAACCCTAAAAACCTCATAAGAACACATAAGATTACATTGAGCAAACTTAAGAATAACATAAAACGACATAAGAAACAATAAAAAAAGTGTTTCATATTTAATAAGAAAATAGCCAATATACCTATGTAGCAAGCAAAGAGAACAAAATAAAAATATAAGACCCTAGGGCAAGTTAAGGTGGGACAAGAAACCCAAGAGGAAACACCAAAAAAGCTATGAAACCGAGAAAGCTGTCGGTCAAGAAAATAATTTCAGCAAAATGTCGGGAGGCAAAAGTGTCGATAAGCGATTTGTCAGCCAGCAACCTGTCGGTCAGCAAATTGTCTACAACGGAGGTCAGCTGAAAAAGATACCGCATGTGAACAGCCTCGTGATATGATATGTATTCATTTGAGCGGCCAGATCGTGCCGACAAAAACAAAATTCATCCAGATTCAGACCTTGCGTTGTGGCAAGGCCAAATTCGGACTGAATTATCTATTTAGATATGGCACACTTCGAACACTGTTATTGTTTTGGAGCAACATTCTTGGCTTGTAGTGCCGTACGCCAGCGTAGTCAAATATAAACTCCCTCACTACGTGTAGCCTCTCTTGTGATTGGAAGTCATCTGTGGCTTGTGTGAGCAACCTATAATCTCGCGTAGTCTTTTGAATTTTGGATAGTCGCCGATAGCCTGTGTAGTCTTGTGCAGTCACGGGAAGGCTAGGTAGTTCGGATAGTTTTATGTATTTACAGGTAGTCTGTGTAGTTTTCCGTTGTCACCAGTATAGCCTCGGTAGTTCGTGTAATTTTCGGTCTGTGTAGTTTCCGGTAGTTGCCACTCACCAGCAGTCTTGATAGTTAGTGTAGTTTTTTGTATTCACATGTAGTCTGTGTAGTAGGTTTTCGGTAGTCACCACTAGTCTCGGTAGTTCGTGTAGTTTTCTGTATTCACATGTTGTCTGCGTAGTTTGTGTAGAGTAGTTTTCGGTAGTCACCAGTAGTTCGTGTACAATGTAGGACTAATTGGTCGCATAGCCCCATACCCAGCATTCTGTACGCAAGCGGTGCAGTGCACTTGAACGAAACGGATATTTTGAACGAACTCAGTCGTACAGTGCACTGCGCTGCATGCGTACTGAATGTGGAGATGTCGGGTATGCGACCATTTCGTCCTAAGCTGTAGTTATCTGTATTCACAGGTAGTCTGCGTGTTTTGTGTAGTTTCCAGTAGTCAAAATCTAAGATCTAAGAAATCTAGGAAATCTAAGAAATCTAGGAAATCTAGGAAATCTAGGAAATCTAAGAAATCTAAGAAATCTAAGAAATCTAAGAAATCTAAGAAATCTAAGAAATCTAACAAATCTAACAAATCTAAGAAATCTAACAAATCTAACAAATCAGCTCTAAGAAATCATCTCTAAGAAATGAAATCTAAAAATCTAAAAAATCTAGGAAGTCTAAGAAACCTAAAAACTCGAAGAAATCCTAGGATTAAAATTATGAACGCAAAAAATAGACTTATAAAAAGTGTACCATAATAGTTACTAAACAAAACTTCAGTGGCTGTATAAGACTACGTGGACTACTGGTGGCTACACAAACTACTGAGACTACCCAAAAGTTCAGCGGCTACATGAGACAAAATTGACTACCGGTTACTGGAAGTACTAGATGTAGCGACGAGGGCCACATTTGACTACGATGGCTAACGGGACTACAAGCCAAGAATGTTGATCCAGAAAAATAACCATGTTCGAAGTGTGTCATAGGTGTAAGATAGATTTTCAACTTTGGTCAGAGGCCTCCTGAATTTATTAGGTTTTTTCAAATTTTTGTTTTTCCGAATTTTTTAACTGCTGATATCTTATCTTGTTTCTCTCAGGGCGTTTACTGAGATAGTCTTCTGGCTCATCATTCACAATTATCAGCGGGAGATTTTAAGCGTTTAGAAATTCTGAGATTAAAATAGCAAAAAAGTTTGTTTCAAATGAAAAAACACGATGCCTCGTTTGAAACTCATAATCGTTTCTCGTTCAAACTTACTAATGACGTTAAACGATTGAGCAGACTTTGAAATTGATACTTACAATATTAGCGGAAAATGACAACAGTTATCAACTGGGAATTTGTTGGGATTTTTTTTCGGCACTGTCTCAATTTGGCGGAAACACCCTCTGTATGATACTAAGCAGGCAACTACGCATAACAATAATATACGAATTTTACCTTTTAATCCTTACAATTGAGTGCAGGTCCAGGCACGAGAAGACTTCGCTCAAGAGCAAAGGCGGCAGATTACCGATAAATACAGCTTCTTTCGGCTGTTCCACTCCTACATCTACGAAAAGAGATGGATAATAATCTTGTTTTGATATCGGAGCACTACTTGCTCTGCAATATAAATTATAATATTGGCGAACGCGAATGACACTATGCTTTTCAACAAAACACTATTGTGCAAAATAAACTAATGGCACTACGTAGTGTTATTTGACTCTTTTTATGACTACGGTACACACCGGTATAGACACCACAACCACGGCATAACATTACTAGTTTGCCATGCTACAACTCTACAAGTTATCAGTTGGCTAATGTGCCTATGTATTTGTACTGTATGTCTGTATTTGTACAGAATTGATAGTGAATTACGCCCTGTTAAAATTAGCTATCCAGAACTATACTCAATACAAATTCAATGCAATTTTAAAGCTTAAACGTATAACACTACGCCCGTTATAAATGTGATTCGGCATACCCGTAGAAAAGGCAGACGCAATATCCCAAACGTACAAAATGCACAAACAACGTGAGTTATGTTTAGTTCGTGCGCGATTTTCGCCATAACCTTTGATGCAGAGACTGTCTGAAAAACGATCTAAAATCAGTGAAGTTGTTTTCGCAAATTGAGAACGTATATATACTGTAAGTTGTACTAATACCTCTAATACACATGAAAACAGGAGCATCGCACAGCAACAACAGAGTCAAAACAGGCGCACGAATCACAGAGAACATTAATTCTGATGTAAATTAGCCGAGGCTGGTGCCGTTCCAAGGACGGATGCCGCGTTTTCACGATGAGTTTCGATGCTATAAATCTCTGGCGCAGATACATACTCTGTGGCACATATCTCGCCTGTTTCCTGCCGTATCATTTTGCCCACTTCACTGATCAGCCGGGAAGCTTCCGGTCCGAGTGGTCCCACCGTTTCCAAGTTGGGCTCTGTTATAATGCCCCATTAAAGGCATTATATTACAGCTTTTGGCAAGAGAATGTAACCGGTACCAAGGTATCTACCAAAATTAACGACAACCTACGCACCCCAAAACTTCCGGTAAACAAATCTTCCTAAGTACATATTAATTTTGGCTTTTCTGTTAATTAGTTTGGTATTCAGTAAAAAAATAATTTTGCCACCGCACTGTAAGGGCGGGACGCCCCGCCCTCCTAAGTAGCTATTCGCTGTTTCTGGGGATTTCCACCCCGCACATTGCTGCGCTGTTTTGACGGACCTGCAGCACAGTTGCACTGGCTGCAGGATCCTTCCTCATTAGTCTGGTGTTGCTGCGCCACGGTGCGCATTAGATTCGGCAATAAAGCCTCATCCGGGTTCACCGCTGTTCGCTGTCGAGGATACGCGTGGCGCCCATACGGCCCCGCGTTATATGGTAGCAGATCATGGTTATCGTTTCCAGCTGCGCGCGCTCGTCGCGCCCGCAGCACCTCTGAGTTATGAACCCCATTTAACCCCGGGGTGTGGAGCTACATTCCCACCCCCCCCCACGCGGAACGTGATGGATCCTCTCCCAACTGACGGAGATGGACGCCTCCCCGCGATGGATTCCTCCTCAGAATGGACGGAGATGCCTCCCCAGAATGGACGGAGAAGCCGCGGGGCGAGAAACGCCTCCTGCGATGCCGCGGAGCGAGAAACGCCTCCTGCGATGCCGACGGCGAACGCGACCCGGACCAGCGGGAAACCAGAACGGATACACCGCCAACAGCAGCACCAACTCCGATCCCAACGGCACGGATCGACCACCAGCACCACGCCGAGAATTCCCCCACCATAACACTGCCCGAACTTCCTGGGACGGCGACATCCCCCCGGACGGAGCAGTGGATTTCACCGCGGATTTGCGTGCTTTGTTTTTTTGCAGGGGTCACGGGCCACATAGACCCCAAACCCCTGCCCAAATTTCCCCAGAACGTGACCTTTCCCTTGCTGAAGAAACCACGGAATTTACCCGTTTCCGGGTTGGACCCTGGATCTGGCGCGACAGTGCGCTGACCCAGACGGTTGACTCGGACCGAACCGGAGCCGACCTGACCCGGAACCCAACCTGAGCCGAACCGGATTTGAGCCGACCAAACTGGAACCGAGCCGACCGGATTAACCGCCCGAACCGGACCGGCGGGGGGTGCGGATCCTCCGAATCCTGGGAGATTTCGCTCCGAGGACGTAGCGATGCCTGCAAAAGGGGTATAAGGGCGGGACGCCCCGCCCTCCTAAGTAGCTATTCGCTGTTTCTGGGGATTTCCACCCCGCACATTGCTGCGCTGTTTTGACGGACCTGCAGCACAGTTGCACTGGCTGCAGGATCCTTCCTCATTAGTCTGGTGTTGCTGCGCCACGGTGCGCATTAGATTCGGCAATAAAGCCTCATCCGGGTTCACCGCTGTTCGCTGTCGAGGATACGCGTGGCGCCCATACGGCCCCGCGTTATAGCACTCTACTTTGGAATTTATTTCACAGTTATTGAGTTTTTCGCGAAAACTAAATTTTTCGCATTCGGTCGATAATTAACGTTTATAAGCATTTTTGGTCTAATTCTTTTGCGTTTATGATTATAATTATTTTGTGAGATCGGAAGGCGGTTGCACAAACCCCGCAGTTGTTGGAGTCGGATGCTTAGCGCGGGACTGAGGGCATATCGAGACATATCGCATCGATATCGATGCTGCGTAATTCATCGCCCTGACTAATCCTAACTTCCTAGCGTCCATGTGTAATCATTGTAATGGGTGGACTTTCCGGTGACACTGGTACTTCAGTATATTTTGCCATGATATACGCATTAGAGTATCTAATTGCTCCGCTCTGTCCAAACGTGTGAGACGTAACACTGGCAAGTATGCCTCAAGCCTCGCGGCTTCAGCTGCCATTATTACTTCAGGCTGAACTTCTGTTTTGAATTCCCAGTACTGGTTTGGCCTGCATTATGTTTACTTACAGTTACAGCTACATTATGGATTTGTTGGAACGGCGTTTCAGCGTACTACCTATGACTGCATGATTATTGAAACTTTTTAGACCGGAAATCTTTCGATCGCTTAGCAAAATAACTATGGGCCATAAAATTTTGGGGCGCAGAGCAGTGTCCCTGAATTAGCCTTCCGGTGCTTCCATATGCTATTTAACAAACAACCAAATCTTTAACAGGAAAATGAAGCGGTTTAACAACTAGCCCAATGTTGCGAAAACAAGATAATTATGAGCTACTGTAAAAAACCATAGCCCATTGAGACAATCCATTACTATCAAAACCTTACAGACTGTAGACGTTTATAGACAATGAAAACGAGTAAATTTATAATATTCAAATTTCTTTAATCTGTTTAATCACCACTTATTAAAAATAAAACTGCAACGAAGTTACATTATTGAATGTTGCAAATATGCTATAAGTACATTATGCAACGGTATAAGTCTCAGACACAATCCAGTTGTTCGAAATTTAATAGGCAATAGCCACCACGATAACAATGACTGCAAGCGCCGGTACTCTACTTAATAGTTCAAATTTGAACATTAAAAAAAAATGTTCGAAATGCATAATGCATTCACTCTTTCAAGTTTCAGGTCGGCATTCTGCCGATGTTATAGCGAACTTTTTGGCTTTCCAGCGACGGAGCCTGGATTCATGGGAGCAAAGGCAGCAACCGTGTGCTGTCTCGACTAGCGTCAGCTTTATACAGACTGTAGTTCTAGTATCTTTAGCATATTTTACTGTGGGCAACCGGAAATCGATTGGTTGTACAGAGTAGTGCAAATATCCAGCTGAAGACGTGCAACGAATTAAAAGACAATTGGCGACCATGTAGTGCCATTAGCCAAATTGTGTAGTGCATTGTAGTGACTTTAGCTTTTTGTAGTGAACTACAGTGGCGCTAGACCAAGTCAACCAGGCCATGAGCCAGCTAGCTTATTACGTTATCTAGTATTAACAGCAATATTAATGAAAACCATCAGCTCCTGCTCACAATGTGCAGTATTTCTCAGCTTTTTTGACGTAAATATGAATTTAATGTTGAAAGCAAACTTACCAACAAAATGGAAGTACTAACCTGCCCCTGAGGAAAACTCTTCAGTGCCACTAAAGCAACGGTTGTCGAACGGCGAAAGGTCGGCTCGGTGGGCTAGATGAGTCAACAGCATTTCCGACAGTGCTGTGGCCATCCACTGCATCGTCTCTGGCTCCGCTGTTAGGCTGGGGACAATGAACATGCATCCATCTCCTTGGATTCGAAGGTGAAATCGACAGCAGTCCGACAAGGCGGCCAACCGTACATCCCGTTTCATCGTGTCACGAAAATGCCTGATGATCCGAGATATGTCAGAGGCGTCGCTAAAAACGTCCTGCGCCCTGTTTAATGGAACGAAGAGTTTTTTGAAGATAAGTCCTTCGACCCGGCACAGCAACGGTGGTTCTGTGATCGGCAGCTTGACGGCAATTTGGCATCTGTACACCAGCTCCTTGCGAAGATTGCCAGGAGCGTTTGCATTTTCGCAATCCTGCGTCTCCACGTAAAAGATTTCGCATAAATCGCACGCAGTAAGGCAATCAGCCACAAACGCGGGGCGAAAGCGAAATGGCCCGTCATCTTCGTCGCGGAGAGCCGCAAATACCTGCTTGAAGAGAATTGTCCCACCCTTGTAAGCGACAGCGTCCGCAGGGAAATGCAAAGGCCACACGCGGCCTGTATGGATCCAGCTGGGTTTGACCTTTTTGGATCCAAAGTGGATGAACGCGTTGTCTCCGGAGATATTCTGAATGTTTCCCAGCCAACAAACGTCGCTGTCATGGCGAACGATGACAGTGTTTTGGTAGCTCATTTGTTGCGTGTCAAACAAGAGCCGCTCATACGGAGGCACTGACGTTGATGCCATTTACTTCCAAGCCCTTGACCTCTGCGATAAAAAATAATATTTAAAATTTTAAACGGGCTCATGTACATGTAGGTAAGCAGCTACCTTGCTTACTCGTGCAGTACATAGTGTTAGCTCCTGAGGTGGATAGAAAACGTCTAAATTAAACTTTCAACGTGGCTCGCAGTCACGCACACCATTTCCTTAACGATTTGCAGTAGGGGCGTTATGATAACTATTTGATAAGTATGATCCTGTAATTAAATCAGCGGTATGTAACAGATCCTTGAAGAACTGAATTCCTGATGCACACTTAGAGCCAAATTCGTACGTACTCGTACATCCAGGGGAACTTTCGCTAATCGCTGTCGCGCACTCCCAAACACTTTTTTGCTTTGCTTTATGATATTTCGAAGCCGAAAAACTTATATTTGTAGGCGTGAAATTTGTTGCACGCGCAACATCCGGTTGAAAGTTATGGGTTATCAAAGTTCCAAAAAATTTAAATGCCTTCAGGTGTACCAAAAGTCTGGTTATAAACCGATCTTCTCCAAATTTTTGCACGTAAATAAACATTAGTATAAAGACAGTTTTTACACCGAACACATTTTTTTGAATTTTAAAATGATTTGTAAAATTTCTGAATTTCTTCAAAATTTGAAAAAAGTTGTTCAACTTTGGTTCGGTGTAAAAACGATCTTTTTACTAATATTCAATATCATTTACGTGCAAACTTCGAAGGAGATCGGTTTAGAACGAGACTTTTGATACATTTATGTAAACATATTGCTGTCAGAGATAAATTTTCCTCACTCGAAACAGTTGCAGTATATTTAATTCGCTGCATTATATTTATATAGTTGCAGTTGCTTCGTAATGCAGACTGCAGAGTGCAGAGTATACAGCTTTATGCGGGAGAGGATCTGTCACTTCACCGGATTATTTACAATTTTATACCCGTAACAGGCCGTAAGATAGCGTGGCGTCGCGCGCCGTAGTGTGTAGTTTTGCGAACCTACGAATTTATATTTTTTGCTTTTCTTTTGTGCTAACCATCCAAACATTCGTTACATTGTTATACAGTGCAGTGTGCACTTTCATATAATACAACTGTCACAGATTTGGCACATTTAGGTCGTATTAACGCGAAGTTCTGTCTCCAAGTCTTTTGGAATTTAAAATGAAATCGCCAAATGCAAGCTTCGGTAAAGATGTGTCGCAGATATTCAAGTACAGTACATTCTGCAACACTTTTGATTGCAAACTTCCAATCGTAATTCCCTCCATGCGTGCGAAAAGACAGTCTTTTAACTACGATTTTTGTAACTTTTTCTACTATGTACAGACAGTACAGTTATCCTCGTGCACAGTACGAACAGTAAACAGTTTTGTGTAAACAAATTTCTGCATGTGAATAATAATCCTAATACGATTAGAATTTGTGAGTCAGGTTAGTAAATTATGTTTACAGTGGAACCTCCCGACCCTGAACACCCTCGGTACGCAGTTTCTGTTCAGGATTCAGAGGTGTTCATGGTTCAGAGGTACTGCCCCCATGGGCGGAGACTTTCTTAGGGGGGCCCCTGGCTTTATATAATTTATATGTAGTTAATAATAATTAGTATAATGTAGCTAATAAGCATAATGTATGATTCGTGCCGTCTTGGGCAAAATAACAGTTTAACACGACAACTACAATTCAAAAAAATAAAATTTCATATCCGTCGGTCGAAAAATTCTCGAGGATAGAAATTTGCTTATCAGAATAAGCAGCGGTCAACTTGTCCGGGACGTATTTCTTGACTTGATGTTCATTTCAAAATTAAAGATCTGTCCACGAAATAAAATTACTTAACGGCAGACGAATGGTTACGAATGATCTACGTGAACACCCTGAACACTTGATCTTCCCGGGTGCTTGGTTGAACTGCTCTGTTCATGTTTAGAGGTCTAATTTACTTAGAAAACATACTGTGGTACATAGCAGAGTGTTCACGGTTCAGAGTTCAGAGGTGTTCAGCGTTCGGGGGTGTTCAAAGTAGGAGGTTCCACTGTACAAAGAGTGGCGCACGCTGGAGGCAAGTCCTAAAATTTGTAACGTAATAAAGTTCCTTTGGGCATTGGCATAATTATTGAAACTGGTAGGGAGGAATCTGGCAAAAAGACTCTAGTTCTAGCCATAAACTGTGACAAGCTGCAAGCATGTACTCTGTACTTGTAGTCTTGTACAGTATCATGTCACAGCCGTTATACCCATATGGTTATACCATGTAAATTTATAAATTAGTGTAAATAAATTAGTATATCACCAAAAATGTAAATGGGCAACATTTCTTCCTGATCGGCTCAACGTCAAGGACTCAATTTATAAAATTGTACAGCAAACCTCAAAAGCACTGAGGGACTTACTTAATGATTATTTATGGCGCGCCGGTCAACTTGCGATCCATTTCCAGGAATTAGAACATCAATGAGTAATTAATTTTATGTTTTTCTGAATGTGTTAACCGATTTGCATAAGAAACAATAATGAATAAACTTATCAGTATAACAGTCTATCAAGCATTCTGGAGCACATGCCGAATCTACGCCGTGAAATTTATCTATAGTTAGGCTCAAGATTCAATCACGAAGATTTCAACGAACGAAATCTGTGACACACGCTTAAAAAAATCGCACTTTGAACCTTAACAAACAGCAAATAACTGCACGGCAATGATGCATCACATATCTGCATCGAGCGGGCAGTTTTGAGAGCGGCAAATCGTGCAGTTAAGAGAAAGCGCAGTTTTGTTTTCTATGATGGCACAGCTTGCATTGGACTTATTACAGCAGAACAACAGCGCAGAAAATTAATTTAAAAATGTCGCGAGTTAATGAACGCCTTCCGGCAATCAAATTACTTGAGCATATTATTTTACGTGACTACTTGGATTACTTTGATGATAGTAGTAGTGAGTCCGGAGACTCTGATAACAGTAGCAGCGATTCCGATAGTGAAGACAGCAGCGATGATGAATTTTCTGATTTAATTTCGCCTTTGATGTTGCGTTTCTACCTGGATAATGTACGGTATGTTGCGAGGTCGTTTGTACCAAAGAACACCGCCTTCTACGATGACCTTCTGTTCAGCCTGGATGAAAGCCGGTTTCGACAGGAGATGCGGATGTCGCGAGCAACGTTTGATGCCGTACTTGGCCGCATCATCGACCATCCAATTTTTAAAGGCAAGTCCAATCACTGCCAAGCACCTGTCGCCAAACAACTCGCAGTAGCCCTGTGCCGGTTCGGTTCATGCGGAAATGCCGCTGCTGTCGCAACTGTGGCTCGCAAATTTGGGATATCGGAAGGGACTGTCGACTGGTTTACGAAGCGTGTTATTGTTGCGATTGTATCCCTAGAAAAGGATATGGTACGGTGGCCAAGCACAGCAGAGAAACGGATAATTAAGAAACGAATTAAAGATAAGTGTCATTTTCCCAGCTGCATCGGCTTCGTTGACGGTACCGACATTGTCCTTGCCGCGAAACCTTCCTTAAACGGTGAGGACTACTACAACCGGAAGAAGCGGTACGCTTTATCTGCCATGATCGTATGCGATTATTCGAAGCGAATTATTTATACGTCATGTGGCTTCACCGGCTCTGCTCACGATAGCCGTGTTTACAAGAGCACTGACCTGTACCGGAACCCGCGCAAATATTTCAGAAAGGATGAATACATTTTGGCGGATAGCGCTTACGCAATCAGCACAACAGTTTTGCCGCCATACCGGAAATCGGAAAAGCGCAAAAGTTTGGCTAACCGGCGCTTCAACAAGCAGCATTCAAAGACTAGAGTACGTGTAGAGCACTGTATCGGCATGTTAAAAAATCGTTTTCAGTGTTTGAAAGGACTAAGAAATGTAATTACTTGTCAAAATGACCACGCTCGTGCTGTTCTATGGTTCCGCGCATGTGTAGTATTGCATAATTTTTGTATCGAAATGAGCGATCCATACGAGATGCAGTGGGGGCAGCTGCCACACGAAGCGTCGAACGAACCGGGAAACCAAGCACCAGATTTAATTCCAGAAACAGAAGAAGGGCCGCAGAAAAGAGAACGAATGAAAAACGCGGTTTTAACTAGTATGGCAGAATAAAATAATTATGTATACAGGTGTAATTTTTAACCGCGATGCAGTGCTGATGGAAATAAAAAAGTGGAAAATAATTAAGCAGTTGTTCGGTATTTAATTAAAACAGCAAATTTATTCTTACAAATCCAAACCAGTTTCTCTTGACCTTAGTCGAAGTTCCATACGTCTGTTTTCTGCCTCAATTAACCGGATCTTTCGTTCCTCCGCTTCTCCTTCCAGTTGTTTTTCTTGCAGCTCCAACCTTTTTCGTTCAAGTGCAGATTTTTCCATGGCGCGCATGTTTGTGGATTCCATTTTCTTCTCCAACCGAGACGATCGGCCCTTATCCAAATGCATAAGCGTTTCCGAAAACGACATCGTAGCTTTTGCAGCTGGTGGTTTCTTCAACGTTTTCTTTTGCGGTCCATTAATTTCTTTTATATGACGGGCAGAAATTTCTCCGTCGGAATCTGAACTTGCGTCGCCCTCCAGACGCTTGTCGGCATGGCTGCGGTGATCTTCATCTGGGCTTGCAGTCTGTTTGGTCGCAGTACTACTGCTGGACGATGGCTGTGCCGGCGGCGTTTGTGGATCCGCGTCGGCGCTATCGTCGATGTCAGCATCTGTCCCATCTGCTCCAGGGTACATAATTTCTTGCGCGCTCACAGCTTCCACGCCTGTCTCTTTTACATACGGCGGCTGAAACGATGCGCGAAGGCTGAAGACCGGGTCGAGGTCGTAAAAATAAGGGAACATCTTGATTAGAACATCTGCAATTATACATGCTATTGCAAATGGTGCGCACGTGAATGTATGAATTAATGTGCCTGTACGTATTTATTTAAATTCTTTATTCTGTACATGTTCTGTATGCATACTGTGTATTATTCACATAATTATACAGTATACTGTATACCTGAAGTACTACGCAACCCTGCATGTACTATAGTATGTACTATCATGCTATGTACAGTATTTAAATGTTTAATCCGTAGTGTCAACGACCATTAATGAACACTGCAATAGTTAACAGCTCTGACAACACATTTGGTGCTATCAACAAAAAACGTTGACAAGTTAATAAAAAACAATTTTTTTTAAAATTTAAATTTCATTCATTTTGCTTCATTTCCCAGTTTTATGGTTAGTTTAAACTGTCTGCTATAGCAGAAACAAATTTTAAAGTGATGACATTTTAAAGTTGTTAAAAAGATGATAAAGTGTGTTGCAACACTCAGTCAGACAATAATAAGCCCGAATTCAGGAGAAACTTTCATTTTTTAAATTTTAAAATTTTTTAAAATAAGTTTTTTGCGTTTGTTTATTTACCTTTAATTTTGTTCGACTGCAGCCTTCCTGCGCGATCCAGGTCTGGCTCGATGCCTGCGCCGGTGTTGTTTAACCAGTCGTTTGCCGCTTTGTATCTTTGCTCGAACCATTGTATCTTTAGCTTGAGTTTTTGGCCATCGATCCGCTCCTTCTTACAGGCCGTAGAAATATGTAAGGAGATGGCACGTGCTACAGCTATCTTGGTTTCTCCGCTGGTCTTCTTTGTTGCATTCTCCGGACCAGCAGCCTGTCCAGCTGATTTCCATCTTTCATAGTTGGTCAAATCAGTAAGCCAGTCCACCAATGCTCTCTCCTCCTCCCTTGACCATCTTTCATAAGCGCGCACGCCGGCATCATCTGATCGAGCGGGAGGATTATCTGGCAGCGCCGGTGAAGCGGAGACTGGGAGAGCAGACTGGGCAGAAGTGAGAAGCGGAGCTGGCATGATGCGTGGGGTTTGTGCTGCAGTCGCTCTGGCCTTCTTGCGAGCTGGTTGCGATACTGTTGCTGGTTTAGGAGGCATGGCAGTAATTAGATAATTGTAAGCAGCAATTTTTGGCAGTAGTTAATAATCCAGTGAGAGTGAGTGAGAGTATTAATGATCGTAATTAATTTCTATAAGAAAGTAAATACACCAGAATACAGTTTACGTAGACTGCGTTTCACTTCTAGTTTGGTGCGTGCTTTTGTTGTCTGAGAAAATTATCAACTTTGGCGCCTTTGACGCTCGAATATGCTACTCTCGAGTAGCTTTTTCTAGAGCAACATTTATGAATATTTGGGGCGTGGATACAAACGTGCAAAAGACACATCATCGCAATATGGACCAGTTATGAGAGCTTATCTTATCTCGTGCGTTACTCAGCTTTTGCAGAATTCTCACAATTGCTAGGATTTCCTAAATTTCCGGTCTATTTTGAACCGGACTTATGGCATTTGCTGACATGTGAGCGGTGGAGGTGCTGTATCTGTAGCTGCAGACGGCAGCAGACGTTCGATAAACTTGCATCGTAGTCAAGCTGAACATGCTGCCTATTATCTCTGCCTATCCTCTATTCAGCTAGACTGCGCTAGCATGTCGTTGACAGATGTTTGCACTTTGCAGTGCCGCAGGGCAAATGTTGGATGCGCTTTGCATGTAAATTGTAAGGACGACCATAATATGTAAGTAATTAACCAAGAACAGTAGCACTAAATAACGGCACCGTTATTTACTGTCCTTGAATGAACTGCCTTGCCATGGCAAACACCAAGGCTTCCAGTTAACAGTAGCAGAAGAAGTACAAGTATCGGTCGCGCTAGTTGAGTTTGAGGTATGGTACAGCGAAGATTACAAATATTGGGCATCAGGACATTTCGGCATATGGACATTTCGGCTAGCTTAATAAAACGAAGGATCCATAGAATAACAAAAAAAGACGTAAGAAAACATAAGAAAACATACTCATGCCGAAATGTTCATATGCCGAAATAACAGCCGAATTGTCCATCTCCTTATGCCGGAATGTCCTTATGCGGAAATGGTCGGACATGAGGGTGGCGCAGGTCAAAATTACCAACTGTCACGTGTAGCATGTCTGTTGGTTATAAGCGCAGCCATACGTTCCCAGTGATTACGTTGTAATTCCAGTATGAATCATCATAAGCAGCCAATTATGAGGGAACAACAGCCCAGCTGAAAATGGTTAAGGAGTTTTCTACCACTTAAAAGTAATCGATGATTTCTTGATCTATGGTTTGTCTGTGAATTATGAGAGTGTACAGCTTAGGACAAAATGGTCGCATACCCAACATCTCCACATTCAATACGAATGCAGCGCAGTGCACTGTACGACTGAGTTCAAAATATCCGTTTCGTACAAGTGCACTGCACCGCTTGCGTACAGAATGCTGGGTATGGGGCTATGCGACCATTTAGTCCTACATTGTATACACGTTGAAATGTGGATTGCACTGGTGTTTTTCCCATAGACGCATATGCTTAATTTTGCGAAGCATCTGATTCCAAATGACACAGTAGAGCCGTAATCACACCTCATTAGCGATTTTGCCGTTGTCAGTTGTCTTGTGCTGTGAATCACTCATGTAGGCGGTTCAGTTGTGCTTCCCAAAGAGTCCGTTGTTAATGTGGTAATGCAAACTGATAATGTGATTTGTATTGAAAGCTGTAAAGTTAGTTGCCGTTTGGATGTCTACGACGAAGGTGGAAGGACCGGAAACGGTCAGTTTGTCTAGTTATGATTGGCGACGGCCAACCCTCTTGGTTTGAGTATTAAAGGTTACTAAATGTCATCAGTTAGTGTTGCCGCTGACCTCCAGTAACAACCAAGATATACATTTAGTCTTACTCCACCACAAAACCATCAACAGCTTTACGCTTGTTGACACAACGTTGCCAGAGTTTTTAGCGAGTAAATGTTCATATCACCACCTTTTTCACAAAGCAACAGAGGTTAGTAAATGCACATAGTTCCACTTATCAACTAGTTCCACTCCTGACACAACCGGCTAGAAGCGGAAATGGCATCCTTGATAGCATACCTCTCTTTGTTTTTCATACTGCGCTGAGACATTTTAACTTTGTTTGCGTAACTTTGATTTTTCGCAAATATTAAGGGTGTGTTACAATCATGACTTTGTGCATGGTCTTGGTCCGACTTCATTCACGTGTCTGGTTTTTTTCGTGAGCCAGGTTTAAATTCCCACGCTAAAATACCATCCTAGAGTAGTTCTTAATGGGTTAGCTGTCTACCGTCGCAATAAACAAGCAATAAACATAGATTAGTGAGTGACCACAAAACACTAAACAACGTAGGTTAGTAAATGCTATTACTAAATCCTAAAACTACAATCAGCGCCACAGAGCCTCATAATAAGCAAATGCACAATCTACCACCACTATGTAATTATATAATTACTTCATGTACCTCATTTTTATCGCTTTTTAATTCATAATTACCATACTAGATTTCGATCGTAGCATTTAATGGGTTCCCTGCCTACAGAGTATCTGTACATTTACAATAAATCAAAATATACACTGTACATACGACGAAGCTGTTATCGGAGGTGTAGGTTGCAGTTGCTTGTACTTTAACAGTTTATTTTTAACATATCTGTACTTAGTTCAAATTTAAAACGAATCTGGATACAGCGAGTGCTGAAAAAAGTTACAAAATACGCTTGCAAAGGCATTGATGTTGTTTTCATGCGCGAAAAATCCCCGATTCCAAGTACAGCCATTCTGCTCAGCTTGTGCACATCAGTGTCAGGTCAGTTTTTGTTCATGATCTCGGTGTTCCATCTGCGTGAAATCCGCTAAACCTGTGAACAAACGATACTATCCTGCGTGCAACTGAACTTTTATGTCCCACTTCCGTAATTTTTTCTGTACTGTACTTTATTTGGTTTAATTAAAGCACTGTGCTTATTCGAGACGCAAAAATGGTGCTTAAAAAAGCTGTTTCTTGGGAAGCACCAGTATAACGTTTAGTCTTTTGACGAGGGTTGCGAAAGCGACAACTACGCTCTTAAAGCAAAGGTGCCGCAGCCGCTCGGTTTAGACTAACATCGGCTTTTGCGTTTTACTGTAATCGAGTGAAATCTATTAAATTTCAAATACACTGTTAGAACCGCTCGAATGGTCTCCCATTCGTGCGGATAGGCGAGTGTCTGCACCCAGCGAGTATGAATATCCTTGACCTTTCGGTAAACTTCGTCCGCGACAGGTGGAAAATGATTATCCATAGCCCAGGTGAATTTGCCGGCAATCGCATGCCGAGCAACGAGGTATTCTCCCCAATGAATGGCAAAGGCCACACGCGTGACGCGACCCGCATGAATCCAGCTGGGTTTGACCTTTTTGGATCTGAAGTGGATGAGCGCGTATTCTCCGGATATATTCTGAATGTTTCCTTGCCAATAACCGTTGGCGTCATGGCGAATGACGACAGTGTTTTGGTAGCTCATTTGCTGCGCGCCAAACACGAGGGACTCATACGGAGTCATTGAAGTCGAATTCATTGTGCTTCGAGCGTCGTATCTTGTCGTATCTCAGAAAAAAACAGTTGAATTGGATATGGGTCATATCCAGATGCGTACAAGTATTACGGATTTGCACTCGCTTCACCCGAACTCTGCAAACCGAATCGCTTGAATTTCTACACGCCGGCATTTTTATCATTTAATTTTCACGGCTACTTCTGGATTTGAAAGAATAGTTTTTTTCTGCTTCCTGATCGGAGGAATATTGACCAAAACCGTATAAATAAAACCGCGTATCTTTTTTAGTACTAGCAAAAACTTACTATAGGTAGAAGGACTGGGAAGCGACTCTGCAACGGTCGACTACGTCATCACTGTCGCATACAGAATGCACTGATGTGCTATTGCCTACGGCATAGGCCCACAAATTTTCTTGTCCCTTTTTAAAGATATTCTCAGTTCCTTTCTCCTCTAAAGCTTTCTGATATTTTAACAGATCATATTGAATTTAGAAACCCAAACATGAGGGGCTAGAAACAGAAGATAAAAGAAATATGCTGAGAAAACTGACAAAAACCGTAAAAAACGCGCATCTGTCACCATGGCAGCCGCCCTCCCGTGTATGCGAGAGTGATGACGTCAAACGGTAGGTTACTGTACCAGTCCTCCTCACACTATAGTAAGTACTTGGTACTAGTCATTTCCCGGTAAATATGCCACTAAATTCTTGTAAAGCTATGCCACACAAACACTGATGAATATGTGTATACGTACTCAAGAATGTTCCGTTAGCCTGTCAGTGCATTTCATTTATTTATAAGATGGAAATTAATAAGTTGTTTTGATTATTCGTACTGTGAGCTAGGTAGAAAAAGTGTAATTCCAAATTTTAATAAAACTCGCAGACGTGATCCGTAACGAGCAGCTGGGACACTATAATAATTATGTATTCGAGTAACAATAATAACAAACCCTCGAGGCACTATCAAAATCTGGTCAGTAAACTGCCTGAACAGAAACAGTAAAATTAAAACTATAAGAAATTTTCAATTTCAACAAGGACAGGTGTAACAAGTCTTAGGAGAACAGAAAACCTGAAAAACTCTGAAAAATACTTTGAAAAACTTATGTCTGTAATGTAATTTTAATTGTACTAACCAGTACTGTACTGCTACCCTGCACTTGTCCAGACTTTGAAATCCCAAACTGCAGTGCTATTAACCAGATTACATCGCTTATTACACAGTAACAATAACAAAATTCCACATCATTCACGTTCAGCTAATTTAAAAGCAAAATACACGTCTCCCTTTTTAACCATGTCGCTGAATGTACCGAGAACAGAAACTGCATTTCCTCGTTGAATCTCGATACCAATTTTCTGCCGCAAAAACTCCCCTGACCGAGGGTTGCCCGCACAGTCGCTGATTTTTCTCGACAGCTCTTTAAAAAATTTCTTCGTCCGTGGTCCGAATGTACCCGTGGTTTCAAACGCCAACGGTTGGACGATGTAACGGTCTCCCAACCCGCTATACTTTCCTATTTTCCGGTCTTCGCGAATTTCCGCTGCACTTCCCGGCACTCTAGATGTTTGGGCAATGTACGTTTGGGCGAATGTAACTGCCACGATTACATCCCATACTAGCGGTTTGCCATTTTTCCAAGGAAACGCTGTCACTCCGTCGGGCCTCTTTCCGTCGCCTCTCTCTAAGCTCGCCGGCTCCAGTGACGATGGCACTTTTGCCGAGCTCAACGCGCGCTTGGTTGCTTCGTTCAAAGCAGCGTGGACACCATGCCTTCCTTTCGCTAACTTGCATACCAATCCATGGTGGCCGAGACTGTCTACATCACTGCCACACCGGCAAACATGTTGCTGGCATACCGGAGCTCCAAGCCGCCGCGCCACGGCAATTCGTAAATGAGTGTCCTCCAGTAAATTGCCAAATATTGATACAGGCAAAGCAGCCAACCAGGCACGCGACTCCGGTGAGGATGCAGCCAACAAACGAGCTGAGGTAAATACGTCGGCATTCTCCATC